CACTCTGGACATCTTTAGGAAGTCTCTTGAATAATTATGTTGTAAGTGATAATCTTACAATCAGCCTAAGGTCAACGTCCTTCCAATCTTATATCAGTTGTAAGTCAGTTGGAAGCGGTTTATTCACACTTCTAAATCGCTACGTGCCCGTGTTTTTAATCATATCATGCGATGACATATCATCTCGCTCGTGACACGATATGTCTAGCATTGAGCATAACATGATCTCATGTTGCAATCTAAACAAATCTTGTAAAACATTCCGTACACCATTTTTTTCCGCGAAAAAAATTTCAGCAGAAATGGGAGAAAGTAAGCGCGAGAACTAAAAATAGGAAATAATTATAAGAATACTTGTCCGACTTTCCAAATAAAAATTATTATTATTATTTACGTTACGTACACTATAAAATTTTAAAGATAAAAGTTCGCTTTTATCGAGGAAAGCGCGTTCTATAATACGCACCTATGTCTCGCTGCATAATTAATATGCTAATATAATAAAATCATTTATATCCTGCAAGTAATTTTTTAAACTATTGAATTTTTACACGAAATCTGGACGTCATAAATATTTGTTGTACTGCCGTAATTTTCTACCGTTGTGTTTCACGAATTTTACATATGAAGTACCCCTTTGATCCAAAGCCATAATGCGTCAAGCTGGCACTTGTACTGCTTCAGCTGCTGGAGAAACTCGCGACAGAATCGCGTGTTTTGTGTGTGTGTGTGTGTGTGTGTGTATGTGTTGTGTGTGTGTGTATATGTATGTGTCCTGCCTACCAACATCGCTTGTTTCATTTTTACGCGTGAGTATACACGCATACACGTGTACACATGTGTATTATATGTTCCTGAAAGAAGAGGCTTTGATTTGTTCAAGCTGGTATTATCTAGGGCCCCTACCGGTTCCCAACGAATTCGCTTTGAATCAGACATCCCGACAATGTTCCACGAAACGGTCCTTTTAGTTTCGCCCTATACAGTTTCAGTTTCTAACGGATTTTCACACGCAATTTTATTTTTTAGATACTTTATTATTTATTTTTTCTTAATTTTTTAACTTTTGATTTACAATATTTATTAAATAGAGATAATAATATAATATAATAAAATATTATATTCGAGAAATTAAAAAATTATAAAACGAATGAAAATATTTATTTACATATCGAATCGTTATGTCTTTTCTTATGTTTATTATTATTTTATTTTAACTTATGTCAGAATATCTATTAATTTGTCATTTGTAGTTTTTCAATTTTTTATAATTTTATATCTAGAAATATTAAACTTTTTAAAAATATTGTTTTAGCATTATAAAGTATTTAACAGATAAAAATATCTTGGTTGAATACTTAACGTGCTCAGTAAGATTAACCATGGTATCCATGAAAGTTTGGGCGAATGTTGCATCATGTTTTTTATTGATCCTAAACCCTATCGCTATATATACTTACTGTCGAGTGTCAGTCTGAGGCAAACTGTACTTAAACCTGAGGTAAAAACAAAGACATCGATGTTATCGATTACTTTTCCTGAAGAATGATGACATGTCTTTTGCGATGTGAACATGACAAATTGCCTTTTTTCCATTAATTTACATCTCAGGTCTATAAATAACCCAATATCGTTATAATCTCAGTATTTTAAGTAAAATTTATCATCAAGAATTAAATACGATAATTTCCCAGAATATCTTATTCTGTAAACATTAATACAAATTTTTGAAATTGAGAAAATAAATAATGAATATTTGTGTATAAATATAAAATGTTTAAAACGGAGTAAATATTTGCTTTTAGAATCTCCAGATAATCTCTTTCTTTATACTAAAAATTGTCAAAATAAATCTTACATCGAAAAAGCATTAATATACATTGCTGTCAGTATAAAAACTCAATTTACATATCTTCGAATAATAACACAGATAATATGAAAATATTTTAAAATGATTACAATGGTTTTAAGAAACAATTTCATGTATGTACGTAGTAATAAACAAAAGCTTTATTATTATGTACATGAAATTTTCGTTTAAAACTATATTGCATAAAACTAAAATTATATTGTATCAAATCTATAATCATTTTGAAATATTTTTGGTGTAAAAAAAGAGATTATCTGAAAAACATTTTACACTATTAGAATTGCGCAATATTATGCATTCGTAACTGTAGAGTCAATCCAATAGGTTTAACCATTCTATAAAATTAAGATTCTTGATATTTCGATATTAAAATATTAATAAATATGTATACCGCGAAAGAATTATATTTCTATCATTTTTCATCTCAATTTTATCGCGAGACATTATAATTATTAATATTTATTTAATGCTTATTTCTATCAATGTAGATTATGTAATCTCAATTCAATTTACTCTTCTCATCTTTTTCTAAGAATTAGAAAAAAATGAAAAATAATTGATTCGAGATTAAAATTAATCTACATTGAAACGGGCATACATAAATCGTAGCCGTTAAGCCTTAATGTACAGTTAAAAAGCATAAACAATAGAAACAGGCAATAAGAGATTTCTACCTATCAGAAATCGTGTTACGAAAATACACGATTTCTAATAAGTTTGTCATTACCTGTCTCTATATTATTTATACTGAAAAAAGAGTTTGATTATATAGCTATCAAAAAATTTAGTAAAATAATATTAAATGTTTGGTTGTATTAATCAAACACATTTAATTAGAATTATTTCATTAAACGTAGTAGCTATTAGTAAATTCTTTTTTCAACATTTTTTTATGGTGTTTCAGACTTTAAGCGTCGCTGGCGAATGTCGTAACTGTATAAAGAGAGAACAGTTTCCAGATGATATCCGATGAAGACCATTTCATGATTGTTTCAAGCAGAATTACAGCGTAGGCTGCGTTTGTCACCGAGAAAATTACGAGTACGAAGCGTGAGCGAATTCGCCGGTTCGCGTGATTTCATAATTAGCTCTAAATTATACGCGTAACGAACTTCCGACTTGCGTATCGGGTAAATAATACGCGAATCTCGCATGTTCTCGGATATTCTTCTCGAGTATCTTCAAGTATCCTTATATTCGAGCGATGTTAACCGATGGCAAAAGGGCTGTCAATTTCTAACGGCGGCAACGGCAACGAATAGAGAGAAAGAGAGAGAGAGAGAGAGAGAGAGAGAGAGAGAGAGAGTGTATCAAGCGACGAGAAAATCAATAGGCCACGTGGGTCGCCGACTGGATTTTCCGAACCCAATTTTCACCCTTAATGCTGCAAGCTAATAACTCATTGGCCAAGTCGATAGAAATGCCCGTTATTCCACACGAAACCGATAACAAATCTTGTGACACCACAAGCTGATTATACGAGCGAGTTCGAAAGAGTTCAGGAATTTCAAAAGCGATACTTAAGCAGTTGCCTTATTTCTGAAAAGTTCTTCAGGAAAGGAAAATTCAAATCAAAAAGAACTATAATTTGTACATACTCTCGCTGAGGGATCAATTATGTAATTTTTCCCTAAAGCGGAAACGTGAACAGTGAAAATTTTGTGTATGTATATGTATATATATACACGCACACGCACACACGCGCGCACACACACACACACACACACACACACACACACACACACACACACATGTATACATATATACACTGGATGTTTCAAACTACCTGCTGTCGAGAGCTTTTCAAAACACTACAATAAAGTTATTTTTCATTAAATATTTTTCATTTATATTTTTCGAGTTATAAGACTCGAAAGTTATAGTATCGCCGGCATTAGCACTACACAAAATATTCCGATTAAAACTTCTTGAATATTCTTCAGAATATCCTGAATAACATTTGTCAAGATCAAGGCTGTTGAAGATTATTCTTCTTATTTTCATTTTTGCACTAAAAATTCATTTTTACGTAAAAATAAAAATAAGAGTATAACCTCCAATGTAAATACTGTATAGAAAAAAGAATCCTTTTTTACGATAATATAAGGTTTTGTTAAGAAATCTTATATTAATCTTTTGAACAAGATTTGTTTCAAAAAAAGATTATTTTTAATTTTTTGTATCAAAACTTTGTTACATTTAGGAAGTGAATAACTAATTTAGAAATATCTTGATTTAAAATTGGAAGAAGTTTGAAATACAGCTTTTTAGCCATAAGTATAAATATCTTACAAATTAACGTAAATATTCTATATGTAATGATATATAAATTAAAAAATAATTTTTATTAAATGTTCATTAAAAAATAATATTTATTTTTATAACATTTTGAATATTTTTTAAATCTTCTATGGCTTTGATTACTACTTTTTCTAAGAAAATTTAATAAATTTGAGGATATTTATAGTCAAGATTGTATAATAGAAAAATAATATAATCGTAAGGAGCACCGTAATATTTAATATGTATAGTTACAGCGTGTTGTTATTACAAAGTTCACTATTTATAAGATACGATCGATGTCAACATATATTACATACTTAACACGTGCCTCATGCATTGGAAAAATCTTTTAAAGTTATTCGCCATTCTCCAAACTATATCTCTTCTGAAAATATATCACTTGCGCCAAAAACTTAGATGTTTTTTACGATATTATTAAATAAAATAATTAACTCACATTTCCATTAGCAAGATAGTCATTTTAATAATAATTTTTAATTAAAAATGATAGTTTTCATTTTTATACATTTTATATATTTTAGTAATCTTTCAATAATATTTCTAATATATATATTGTCATATCTTTCTGCCTTCTTAAAAGGATTTCAAAGAACAATAGTATCTGCAAAATTAATTCTTGTAATAATTTCACTTAAGATTACAGGATTAGTAGTTTAATTGAAATAAATGTCCACGACAAAAGACGTTTTTACTCAACGAAGCAGACTGGCAAGCGGCTGCAATGAGTGATTTAACAATAAAGTATCGGCAGAAATTCTTCATGCTTTACTACATCCACGAGAAATCTCATAGGATTCCTTCGCGTGACCAGACGAGTTTCACTCACGCTGTTTGAATTAAATCACCCTCTCTGGATGCAAAGCGTCCTTCGAGAGCGGCCATATTGCGCGGAGCGCGAGACCGCCACGCCGAGGGTGAGCATCACCACTCCGCATTTTCACGATTTCGCTGGGGATGACGAGGATCTCCGTGTCCACGTCATGTACCTCGTCCCCCAGCCCGATATTTCCTAGCGTTGCCAAAAAATTTTGCGAGACTTTTCATTCAACATATCACTGGAGAAAAGCGCGACGCACACCACGCCACGCCGCATTTTCCCTCTCACCTGTTTCCTAAACCTCGCCGTAGATCCTCGACGCAGGCTCGTCGACGAACACCGATGTCAAAGTAGAATGACAGTGAGGTAGAATGGGGACAATTAGTTTTGCACTCAGGAATCGATCTCAGACGATAGCCATGGCGTGAATTTTACCTCCGAAATGGAATGCCAGGCTCACTCCTTCTCTGTCTCTCTCTCTCTCTCTTTCTTTGGTCCTCGATCGAACTCGTGCACTGTCACGAATATTGTATTGTTATACTCGTCGTCTTCGCGCACTGCTCCTTTTACTAGCGAACACGAGAGCTCGGAGACGGAGGCGCGAAATGCACGGCGCGGTAGTCGGGCTCTCAATGATTGCCGTTCTTCGCCGACTCCGACCCGTAGCTCCGAGCGTAGCTCCGTTGATTTTAAACGTATGTGTGTATGTGTGTGTGTGTGTGTGAGTGTATTTTTTGTGTATGTATATGTGTATGTACGTGAGTGCAGGGGAAAATCGCGCCACCCAGACCACGCTACCCCCAGACAACGTATCGAGCGGCCTATCGCGCAGTGCCCACCTCTAGTACGCCTTTCTCTCCGACTTTAGAGGCAAATACGGGAAATAAACGAGCGTAGGTGGATGGATTAATCATGCGAGCTAAATGGAAAATTAAAAGATGTCCCATTACGATAATTAAAAGAAAAATCCATACAACAACAACAATAATAATAATAATAATAATATGCATGTATCGTAATTAAATTTACATTTAATTAACTTACTTAAATTGTTTACATTGTTTAATATTTAAAAATTAAAATTCTTCTCGAATTCTCACAATTCTTCTCACAGTCGAAATGTAATCAAGTAAATATTATAACACTTTAAAAAAGTTATTTATACAATAATTTAAATTATATCTTTCGACATGCATTTTATTAATGGTAACTTTGATACTGATTTTGATAAAAAAAATAAGGAGGAAATGAAAAAGACGTTATTTAGATAAATGTAATGTGTTTCGCATAAAATATTACGTTACAATGCGACGTCCGCTCTTATTCATTTCACAGTTTACGTCGCGGGAATTTTAAAACACTTCAAGAAACGATTTATAGCACGCGAAAACCAAAGAGGAAGAATCGACATTCTGTTTAGCTTAATAGTCACTTCGTATCTAATAGTCGTTTAATTTTGCAGTTTAATTTTGCAGTACTTGATCATCTTTTCTCATTTTTTTTAAAGATAAGTCGTCCTTAGTCACAAGTTCAAATTGCTAGATAAAAACATTCATTTGCAGCTGAATGCTACGTTCACTATTTCCGTTGAAATTTTGCATTGCCCATTCGTCATGTTGAAAAACCTGCGCCGATTTGCAATAACAAGGCTGGAAAAGACCTCATCTAAAAGAAAGAACAATTCAACATCATTATGTGTCGATACGTGCTTTCTTCTCGGAAAAAAAATTTTTCTAGCTCTCATTAAAACTTTCCTCGATCGAATTCGTTGTTGCGTTATTTTTACCACAACACGTGTCGGTATCGAATATCACGTTTCGACATGTCGTACATTATTGTCCGTAAACAAAATATATTACTACTGTAGTCATAGATTATAAACTTACATTTAGTATTCTTCCTTTAATCTATATTATTTAAATAAAAGTAATTCTGAGGAATATTCGTTATACGACTTTCCTCAGTGCCGTAAAGTATACTATCGTGAGATAACGAAGAAAGAGAATGCATAAGATATATTTCAATCAACTGTTAGGTCTACAATTTTCTTATCTCACTGTAATAAATACCCTGCTTTATTGTTTTTACTCGAGATCGTTCCATTTTCGTGAAACACTCTTTGCTTCTGCTGCATCGATAAAACATATCTCATTAAAACCCGATTGCACCAACATTACTTTGACTTTAAGTGAAACTTAAAAATCTTTTTCTTTCTTTAAAGCCAACAGAGAAGGAAAGAGTTAAGTCTCACTTAAAATTAAAATAACGTTACTTGTTAGTGCAATCGGGCCTAAGATTAATAGACTCGTTAAGGCTTGTTGAGGCAGATAGACACTTTGCAGCCTGAAGTACCGATTAGTAATAAAAAAATTGAAGACTGGTCTCATCTCGTTTGATGGTGATAATATTTTTATTTTATCGGAATGTGCTCTTCTTGCATCGAGGACTCAATTAACAATTATTTGCCTCTCTTATTTTATATATATATATATATAAGTTTGCTAAATTGTTGTCAAACAGTCGATCCGCTCGTTAACGCGAATAATTTAGAGTTGAACCTCGTGAAAAAATTAATATAATACTTACAGACGAACAATTAAAAAATCGTTACCATGGCAATCGAATAATAACTCGCAAGATTCCGTCACTTCGTTACAACGTGCAAATCAATTATTCGCAGGTTGCGTAATCTTATTCTATCAATTATCTTTGATAACTTTTCCTTTGCACTCGCAAACATTTATCAAAGTAAAATTTAGCGATTGAATAACGATTGAATTAAAACGATTGAATAATAAGATATTTCAATGCGTATTTTAAAGGATACCTTTGTCTTTTTGAGATATGAACCTGCAAGTAATAATACCTTTTATTAAACATGTTTTAAAAATGTATGTTATTATAAAATATAGAAGCTTGATGTAAGTTAAATTATTAATTAATATTAATTATTAAGTTTTGGTATTTAATATTTTTCTGTAAGTTAATTTTTATAAGTCGTCTCACACCCACACCCACACCCACCCCCCCCCCCCCCCCCCCCCCCACACACACACACACACACACACATTTAGAGCCCGACAAGTGAATTTATGTAAGAAAAATAAGTTTTATTACACGCAACGTAAAAGAATCGATCACCGACGTTATCCGTTAGAAATTATTTGAGAAAGAAAACAATTACTTTATTTTTTATTTTTTACTGTATGTACTGCGTCACGCTACACTGAAAGTTTTCTTTGTTCTGTGAAAGACCGTACAATTCACTCAACAATTGTTAAGAGTTGAACAATGAAGAAGGGCAGACTAAAAGGTCTCAAAAAAAAAAAAGAAAGTTGAAAGAATTAAATTCTTTGTTCCTTTCTATACCTTTTTCAGTCTTGACCAGATATATTGATTTTCTCTTTCGCCTCGCATGATTGCTTTGCGAATAATTTATGATTTGTTGTATGGAATAATTTTACAAAGCGGTAAAAGTGAAATAAAACATTCATTTCTTCAAAAGATGAATGGTTATTGATGGTTATTGATGGTTATCTTAAAACATTTTTGTATTTCAGACTGTTTGATAAATATACAAAAACATATGATGAATCTTTTTATAATTAAAATATAACGTTATCAATTAAATAATGTTAGTCATAATACTATTGTTAGAAAATAGATTTTTCAAATTTATTTGTATTTTTTATCATTTGCTTTCAATTATACTCACGTAATTGGTTGCAGAAAACTAATCAATTAGCGATTAATGATTTTTTAATATGATTGGTTTCTATATTTAGATCCATTAAAGAACTAAATACAAGAACTAATCACATTAAAGAATTACTAAACTCTAACTGATTGATTTTTTTTGCTGAACGCAGCCATTCTCTCTCTCTCTCTCTCTCTCTCTCTCTCTCTCTCTCTCTTTCTCTGTCTTATTATACTATAATGTAGATTTTTCTTTTTTTTATTATTGTTATTCTGTTGTAACATAATTTTCTTATATTATTGCTATTCTATTGTACTTCCAGTACACCTGAGGAGATATTATCCCAGACTCTAAATAAATGTACGCTTTCTCTCTTTCTCTCTCTCTCTCTCTCTCTCTCTCTCTCTCTCTCTCTCTCTCTCTCTCTTTCACTAAAATTCTATATTTTAATAATTATATTAAATTAGAATGTTACAATGTACATATGAGCAAATTTAATTTTTTCATTTATCATTGAGCAAGACATTTACAAGGCTGCTATGATTATTGATATTGTTTTATGGAGATTGAATAAATTATACTTTGAAAAAAAAATAATAATAATAAGTTGCTCATACGTGGATGAATGACGAAATGTCATTCGAAAATCCGTAAGATCCGTGGAATTATGGAACACACAAAAAATTTCAGGAAACGATGCAAATTTGTTTGTATAGCGACGTTTAATCATGTATACTGTATACCATTATTACATTGTTTTTACAGAAATCGGAACGGATCATTGAACATGGAAATGCTGTGTGGCGACATAAGTGACGAAAGAAAAGAAATGTGATAATAAGCAATCTTTGCATTGGTTACGATTGGAAACATGTTATTACATGTTATTACTATGTAAATTCTTTACATAACTTAACGACACGCGCCTTTCGGAACGGTAATAATATCACGTTACCGAGCAATGTAATGATCGAACTGATGATTTGTTTCGAACGCAGGAAATAATAAATATGCGATTCACTATTAAAAAATATTTAAATTCTCCTGTTAGCTATTATTTGAATCATCTGAACATATATATTCTGAATGGAGAATAGTATAAGAGATTTGACGTAACCCGTTGCAGTATTAAGGATTCTTGTTACGTAAATGTATTTTAGTGACGTCAAAGAGGGAATCGATTCCGAAATGCGGAGGAAAGGTCCGCTTACGTCATTGTGATGACATAGTTATAATCTTTCTTCTTTTTTGTTTTACAATTAACTATGTCATTGTGCTGACATAGTTATAATCTAGCTTCTTTTTTGTTTTACGAGAAATATACAAATAAAAGGAAAAATCGACACAAATTGTCCCTCGAAAAAAATTTCTCCAAAAATCAAATGAATATTTATCCAGTTATCATTTAAGATAAACATGCGAGAAAGAGAGAGAGGGGGGGGGGAGACAGAAAGGGAGAGACAGAGAGAAAATATTATTTTATACAAACTCTTAAAACTATGTTACTAATTTTAATTTAATGGTTAATTTATTATTATATTTAAAATAAAAGTAATTTTACATGGAAAAAATGATTTTGCTAAAATATGTAGCTGTAGATAGATGAATTAAATTTGAAAATAATTTTGTTTGAACCATCAAAATAATTATGTATGACGCTGTAGTAACTAGAGTGTAAACTAAGAATGAAAATACTAAACTAGAATGAAAACACTTAAAACCTTTTGCAGCATTGGTCACGTTCAGCAGACTCAACTGCGGAGCAGTTATATATAAATATTATTACGACAAACATACACAAAATTCGATTTAAACACTTCTTATCAGCTTGCGTAACGGTTATCATCCTGTCATGTCATCGTGATGTCATATCACTGATTTTGTGTTTTAAATGACGACGGTCTTTGCTTTAATATATGCTTTAGTTAATATTTGTCGGTCGATTATTGATAATGAAGCAAATAAATCCAAAAAAGCGAATCCACACTTCATGATCCGGCGAACCCTAACTGGACGTAACTATAGATAAAACATGTATAAAAGCAGAGAATGAAAATAACTCGTTTCTTATAAATTACAGTTACAAGTTACTTTTTTGGTAACTTTACTGATAACTGCATTACTTTTTTTTAATAACTATATAACGATAATATAATTACATTTTTTTGGTAATGGTAACTAATTTTACAATTACTTTTGTCGTTACTTTGTATACAATTGGACAAAGTTCGATTGAACACAATAGTCACTCAATAGCACTTGAGACTATAGAAAGCCTAGGCATCCGTCCGCTGTGATTGGTGGTCGTCGATTTTTAAAAAGTAATGGAAAAGTAACAAAAAGTTACTTTCTTAAATAACGGTAACTAAAATAAGTTTCTTTTAAAAATCGGTAACTATATAGTTACTATATATAGCCATGCAATACAGAATTTGCAGCAATATTGTTACAAAATCTCTGCAATATTGATGCAAGTGTTACTGCAACTTTTGTGCTGTAGGAGTAGTAACGAGTATAACTTGTTACTTTTTCTACTCAGTAATAAGTAATTATAACTTATTAAAAGTTACTTTTTAAAAAGTAACTTTTCATTCCTTGATAATAATAAGTCGTTAATTCTCACATATTCTATCACTATATGATAATAAGCACGTGAAATTTATGCGGGATAAACAATCCATACATTACAAAAGTTTGTAGCAATATTGTTACAATGTTTATAAATGTTACTGCAATGTTGCTGAAACACTAATACAATATTATTGGATTAATGTGTGCTGTATAAAAGCTATCGAAACACTTAGACGCATCAAGATAAATCGATATTAAAGATCTAAAGCGGCTTCTAAACAATGAGTATTGTTGCACAATATTATAAAAATAATAACGAAAATATTATAATTATAAAATATCATAATTATTTGATTATTTCAAATTATATGTTTATTTTAAATATGAAATCAAAAGATTGTATAACGTCGATTTTAGATACAATCAACACATTATTATCAGAGTAATTAAGCTACTGAAAATGATTTATTGAAATATTAATTATGTCATTGATGATGATATTTATGCTAGTGCTTTCAGATTAATAACGAGAGTTAATCGAGAATCGAGTGGAGGAGATGAGCACGGAAAAATAACCCAGCACCTGAACTTTATCGAAATTTCATACCGTCGTTTTTTAATCGATTTCAATTAACTTTGAATTAAAAAGAATTACTATAATTAACTTAATCCATGATTATCCAGATAGCACAACTGTTCCATTTGAACTCGAAAAGAATTCATTTTCTTGATTTGTTTGTGAATTAACGTAATATAATTTGTCCGAAATGAATTAAGAAGAATGCCTTTCCGACAATTAACAAAGGATTCCTGGCAGTATAAAAGTACTTCTTATAAAGTTAAATTGAAGTAAATTTAAAGAAATCCTTTTTCTGTTCGTAATAGGTTCGAAAAAAATTCATTTCTAGCTTGGTCACAATATATTTGTAAAATTATTTCCGCTATAAGTCATGTGCCGCCACTAAAATTGTATCGTGCTTGAGTGATTACTGCGAGCGTAATAGAAGTTAATTTTTGCAATAGCGTTTGGTATACATACATACAAAAAATATACATACAAAATATATATGACTACTGATATGAAATATATGAATACATATGCATGATATACATGATCATACGTGTTTAAATATAAAAGTAAAATTTAATTTGAATAAAAAATAAAGTTACTTTTAAAAATTAAGAAATATAAATTATCGATTTATTATTCAAATTTCAAACAGCTATAATTTTGTTAAAAATAAACAAAATTTAAATTTAAAAAAGAGTTTTAAAGCTTGAAATCTCTACTTTCAAATGATTATTATATTTTTTGAATTTATGTAAGTTTTATAATTTTTACATATAGAAAACTACGAGTTAAACAAAATGGGAAATATTTTCTTCACTTTGTGAGCATGTCCAAAAAAAAAAATTACAAAACTTTTTAAATTTCTAATGTAAAAGGTTAAAGGTTTCTTTATAAAATCGGTTTTAAAAAATGTCCCTACGATATTTTGTTACTAAATTGTAGCAAATTAAATAAAATGAATATTTTATATACTTTTTTATATTTTTACTTTTTATTTTTACTTTGAGTGCTCATTTTTAACTCCATCAAAACCATCAAAATTTTAAAAAGTAGATTCTTAAATTCTCTCATCAGATAGAGTAAGATTTAGATTTTATTTCATTTTTAACAAAAATGGTACCTGTTTCAAATTTGAATAATAAATCGAACCACGAATTTTTGCACTGTAATAAAAATATGTGCTGCAGCAAAAAATATGACAATACCCACACAACACGAGTGATTATTTTCCCATTTACAGTCAATTTTTCCCAGTTGACCTACAATCGACTATGAAAAGTCAATTGTCAATTAACTATTCTCAGTTGATTTAAGTTACTGAAAGAGTCCAAATTGATCGCAGCCTTAATGTCGATTTTCAACAGCTGTTTTAAGATGCATTCACATGCAAGCGTCAAGCGTCAAACAACGGAAGCAACCAATCTGCTTACGGGCAGTGATGTAAAAAATATTTTTTACGCCACTGTAAAAATCACCTCATTGATTGCTGCTTCCACTGTTTGACGTTTGCACCTTATAGTCAATAGCAGTCGACTGAAAGTCAACTAAGCATAGTCGAGTATTAGTCAACTATGGCTTAGTTTCCACCGACAATTTAAACCGGATCAGAATGTAAGAACCAATCGCTCGGTGAGTAGACTGCATTCCGAAAATCATAAAAAAAATTTGTTGCAATCTTTTAGTCGGTAAGTATATCTGTTTGGTCTATATTTTTAGATCTAATGGAATATGCCAATCAGATGCAAGAGCTCATTGAGCGCTCAGAACGGTCGTGCTTCTGGGGATTGATTCTGTATCTTGAAATGAGGTAAGGAAAGTGATGAGTGAGACTCTTGTCATTGGCCAGTGCTAATTGCGCATTCCGGAAATTCCGCTCCATGGAACATAGGAAAACACATTTTAATGGAACGGAATTGGCAGAATGGAGCTACAATCACGACAAAAAAAATTTGCTTTTTTGCGTATATCTCGGAAAATATTGATTTAAAAAAAAATGTATTCAATAAAAAATAAAGCTCTTAAAATTCTCTATAAAGAAGGTTCTATGCATAATTTTCGTAATAATTTTAACCGTTTACGCGTAATATGAATTACAAGACCCTTCCAATTAGGCTATAGGTTGTACAGACTATATGTAGCACGATTATATGAACCAATATCAATTTATCATCTCTAGCCTTGAAAAGTAGACGATGTATCCTAAAAAAAAGTAGACGTTGCTATGTAGTTTACATCCACTTTGTCAGAGGACAATAGTGCGCGACATTTTGCGGTTACAGGTTTTGGGTCATGTCTTCTCTCAGGTTTCTCTTTGGTATGACCTACCAAGCAATGCTGAGTTCAGATTCCTACTCGAGTCGTCACCCAAGTATCACTCCATTCTTGTTGTTTGTCGTACATTAGACAAGGATGACATGACATTTGGGGAGCACCCAGGTAGGAATCTGGACACGTCTTTGAACTGCGAGAACGATGTCGTGGAACGGAAGCGACATCTAGATCGAACTAGTTCAGATGATCACTTTTGACATGCTTTTTTTGATGGCCTCGTCCATGTAAGTTCGGTCTTCTATTTTCTATACTCCATGGCAACGTCTATGGATTCCAACTATATGAAGTTGAATATAAGCTGCGTCGGAGGTTGGACTAGTTGGAGTACTCTTTTTCTACACAGTACACATGACATATGCTATAAGAGCATTCCAATGTCTCAGATTTGCATTACATAATTGGTTAGGTTAGATTAGATATGTGTGTACGTATTTATACATTTGATTTTTATCCGACATTTTAGGAATTTGTACGCACATAACAGTCTGACAGATAAAACATAAGATTAAAGAATATTAATAACAAATTACACGGTACAAAATTAATCAATATTTAATACCAGCAAGGAAAATTTGATTATGGGTAATTTTTATCATACAATTGAAAATCACGTTTATTTATAATTCTGGGATATAGTTTTATAACTCTTTTATAAAATGTATATAAGTAAAAGATAATTAAGATTATAAGTGAAGGAATATAAGGTTCGCTTGGAAATAGTAAGATGTTTAGTACAATTATTCGAAAAAATTTTTAGCCAAAACTCATTGTAAAATTTAATTTATTATGCAAATAAGATTTATAATTTCAAAAATGTAATACGAAATAACATTAAAAAGATGATAGTTAAAGTAGAAGTTACTTGGAAAAGTAATATTGTTTGTACGTCATTATTTGTACACGAAACTTAATGCAAAATTAAATTCCATTTAATTGTAGAGGCCTACTTAGCATCGAGACTCTCTTTCTTTGGTAATATAGTTTCTAGTTCACCTAACTCATTCATCTCTTTTACTATGTCCAATCCGCCAATTAGATCTCCGTTCAAATACAATTGTGGATACGTCGGCCAATTGCTAAACTTTTTAAGTCCTTCTCTAACATCATTGTCCTGTAATATGTCAAACGATTTGTAATCTGTCTTGTAACTGTCCAGAATGGAAACAATTGTTCTGGAGAAACCACACCGTGGATTTGCAGGATTTCCCTTCATGAACAGCATACATGATGCTTGATTCACCAGTTTCTTCAGTCTATCGTCAAGAGATTCCTTCGCTTTCGTTGTGTTGAGCAGTGGAGCATCCTCGTTCAGATGATGCTTGATCTTTTCGGTCAATGCAGATATGTTGACACCATCTACTCTGCTTATCACATTGCTGTTTCTCAACAAAAGAACCGTGGGTACAGCAGCTATTCCAGACTTTAGAGACACTTCGGGTACGTTTTCTGCTTCAATCTTAGCAAATTTTACTTCCTTGTACTGCTCCAGCTTGCTCATCTCCTCGAGTACGTCATTTACTTGGGAACATTGCTCTGCCCAGGGCGCATAAAAGTGTAGGACAGAAAGTTCCTTGGACCTTGTACAACAAACACATATTTATTAAAAAAAATATACAGAAGAAAATTGTAAAAGAATGTTTATCATACTCATATGGACTATCCCTTACAAGAAGAGAAAAATGCATGAATTAATTCTTGATAGAGAATAAAGAAATGTTTACAATTATGTCACATTTTTGTTCTAAAAGGCCTGTCACTTGAAAAATATGAAACATTTATTTTATAAAAATGGACATTGGATTGAAATAATTTTGAAAGAAAGGAATTTACTCATAAAAATTATTGAAATTAACTTTATTCGATGCGTTTTTGAATAATTTTGTATAAACGTTTTGAAGCGTTTTTTAATTAATCAGTTGGTAAAATTCTTTTTTCTAATTGGTCCATCAAATGCTTCAAAGCATTTGTAGCAAGACTTTGACCTAAAGTAGAGAATGAGTCATCATTGAATTATCATTATCATTAAGTACACAAACGTGATCGCAACATGTGCAGCATGGTGGAAGTAATATATACTTCCCCCATGCATATGCAGTTCATTAATATTAAGTCGACATAACAGATTTTCTAAGGCCCACGGTTTCACAACTCACGATTAATTCTTAACCGAGGTTCAACTTGTTTCCCATCTCATTCTAGAATTGGAAAGAGATAATGAATAATGCCCATTTCATAAGTAAACCTTCTTCATAATAACCCATATTTTTTAACCTAAATAATTGTAAACTTTAACAATTAATATGTTGATTCGCAAGGCAAAGCGACATTTTTTTCTGCCAAATTCTTTCATTTTATGCAAAAACGCATTGAATAAGGCTAATTTCATTGATTTTTGTAAATCCATCTGCTTCATAATTACTATAATTTTAGAAATAAAATTTATAAAAAATTAGATAATTCACAATTTTATCTTATTCCTAAAATTCTATGTTAAAGAAAAATTTTTAAAAATTTTTAATTTATTCTTTATCTTTTTCTAATCCTAAGAATTGAAAAGATAAATCGTAAATTAAAGTTAATCTTATATTGGTGGAATTGGGTCTAAGAAAAAAAAAAGATTATTCTCATGGGAAAAGTAGGTATTTGGTTTAGATGTGAGAAGAGGTTAGAAAGCTTCTTTCGACGCGGTTACTCACTTGACGAAGTCATCGAATGCTTGCTCCGTGGCTAGCTCGGTGATCGCCATCGCGTCATTCGCTTTCAATTAGCCGGATCACTTCGTGTTCCACTTCACCGTAAAATGACTCCCGAATTCTTGATATCCAATGCGTCTACGCGACTATCGGCGCCGCTCTCATGGCCGCAACTTGCAAATAGATCATCTCTCAGCGCAATCGCGTCGCTCGACGGAGCTTCCGGAATTGGAGGATCGCCGCGAAACGAGCAAATAAACATGAGAGTGGATAGAAACAATAAAATTAGTGACATGAGTTAAGAAATGAAATTCCGTTTAATTTAAGTCAAACTATAATATGAAAAATATATAATATGAAAAATGTATTGTAGAATGATGAAGAACCGAAGCTCTTTAAATCGATTATATATTTTGATTGATACTTTTTTCGTCATCAAACGTACATTAACAATGCAGTAATTCGAAAATTGTTGATGAAATATGTTTGTTATTTCTGTTTGATTTAAAAAATGGCATTGTTAATGTTTAAGACCACTAGATTAATTTTAATCTCTATTTAATTTGCTTTTTATCCTTTTCTAATTCTTAGAACGAGAAAAAGATAAAAAGTATATAAGTTAAACTAAGATTGAAATTAAATTATTTTGATAGAAATAGGTATAAGGTAATAGGTGATAATAGGTATATAAGTGGTAGCGAAGAAAGTATCAATGAAAATATATTAATTGATTCAATTCCGATTCTTGATCAGTCTATAATATTAACATTTTTTATGATTTGAGTTTTTGATTTATTTATCGAACGTCGAGGAAAATATTTATCGTAATTTAATAAATGTTTATTTGTTTAAACTCTGGCGGAAAAGATTTACGAAAATTATACAGATTAAGACAAAATCTTAAAAATTATTAATTTTTCATATATATTCGTAGGGACGTAGAGCGGCGTTGTTTCTTTAAAAAATCTAGAAATCCTCCGCCCTCATATTATTTTTAGATTGAAAGACATAGAGATATGTTTCATGCAATTTCTATAAATGAATAAAAATGCATTCAGGATTGAAAAGCATTCATTTTAACATTCGTAAATTAATATAATATTTCTGAAAATCTGAATCCATTTCAATTCATTTCAATCCATTCTCGTTTGCTGGGAGAACTACATGATACTACAACGTTGTTAACGCTGTTGCGTTATATAAAGCGCAATAGAAGTGTTGTTATTTACGTAAATAAAAAAATCGTGAGATAATGTTGCTGCTTTCCAACGTATTTCATAGCAAAATTACAAATCTTGATCATTTCCCAATAAACGAGAATGGATTAAAATGGATTGAAATTTTTTTCTATCCGAATGCGTATTTTAAAAATAGCGAATACTTTTTTTTCGATTTAATTGGATTCAATTGGATTCAATTAGATTCAATTGGATGCAATTGGATTGAAAAATTGCAATTCCTATTCAAAATTTTGAACAGTATTCACAATGCACAGAAAAAGCTAATATTATTTTTAGATTGAAAGGGATCATAGAGATATGCTCCATGCAATTCCTATAAATGAATAAAAATTCCGAATTGAAAAGCATTCGTTTTAACATTCGTGAATCAATATTTCTGAAAAATCTGAATCCATTTCAATTTATTTCAATCCATTCTCGTTTGCTGGGTTGTTGTGATTAGAATATTATTAAAATTAAATTAATATATAGTTAAACTTTGTTTTACGTTTTTGTTTATAAGTTAAATATTGGGTCATCTAAAAAGTATCCGCGGTACTTTGTCACTAGATATATGACCATCAACACACATCTAGTGACAAAAAACCGCGGATACTTTTTAGATGATCCAATAAATAAAAGTTTGCAAAATTCTCTAGTTTTTAATGCACTGTGATATAAGTCTAGGTCTGTTTTTTTATTGCTGCACTCTCTGAACTGATATATACAGTGCAATAAATTGAAGTGAAATAAATATACATTTGTTTCAAGGTAAGTATTTCTTATTTGTTTTACTATATATTGTTATAACTTTTACTAAAAGCATTGAACGTCGATGGATTTCGTTTCACAATCATTGTCGAGGGCGGATTACAATAAGAACTGATATGACTCATTCTTATTTCCAGTGAAGGGGATATAAGCTTTGACGAAAGAGAGATTTTGGTTTCCATCAATCTATCAAATATCATTTTTCTTTGATATTTTTTTCAAAAGGAAATCGAATTGATCAGGAGAGTCAGAAATTAAGATTACGTGTCACGGGACGGGAGTCATATGTTAAAGAATAATACTTAGACAGTCACAAGCGTGAAATTAGGCATAGATCATAATTCAAATATGCCAGGAGGGGAGGGCCCTCACCTTACGCGAGACAGGCCTGGCAACGCAGGTGCGCCACGAGAAACTAACCAATCGCGAATGGACATTGGCGAGGGTGGTGGTCACGAGTAGGGCAGAGTGAGGAATGAAAACGACAAGAAGAGAGAAGAGAGAAGGGGAGACCTGTCAGACGGTCGCGCGGTCGGCGCGGTCACAAAAAGCTGATGCAGACGTCGTCGGACGGTGAACGTGCACGTGCGGTGATTAGTTTTTTTTTCTTCTTCGCGTGTGCGGTGGCCCGCGATGTCCAAGAAGCTATCGCGGGCCGATGCCCTCAACAACATCTCCGCCTGGGACACAGAGGGAGTGTTGTGCCTGTTGCGCAAGGTAAGTGAAGTTCGTCGCGGTTGGCTTAACTTCTGCCGCGCCGCAGTCGCGCCTCACTTCGCGCCGTTCAAGTCGCAGAGTGTTGAATAGATGCAACTTTTCGGCGGACACTGACTGTCACAGTGGTCACAGTTAAAGGCGTGATCGCGAGGAGGAACGTCGGGAACACCTAGCATCGCGCAATAGGAAAAAAAGAGAGAGAGAGAGAGAGAAAGATACAAGGCGCACGTGCGCATCAAAAGCGGTAAATACGCGAGTATTTATAGCATGACTTCTATAGAGAGGAGAGGATCGCCGCGGAAAAGGCACAGGCAGACTCGCTAGGATTCCTGATAATATAATATTTCTGAAAATCTGAATCCATTTCAATTCATTTCAATCCATTCTCGTTTGCTGGGAGAACTACATGATACTACAACGTTGTTAACGCTGTTGCGTTATATAAAGCGCAATAGAAGTGTTGTTATTTACGTAAATAAAAAAATCGTGAGATAATGTTGCTGCTTTCCAACGTATTTCATAGCAAAATTACAAATCTTGATCATTTCCCAATAAACGAGAATGGATTAAAATGGATTGAAATTTTTTTCTATCCGAATGCGTATTTTAAAAATAGCGAATACTTTTTTTTCGATTTAATTGGATTCAATTGGATTCAATTAGATTCAATTGGATGCAATTGGATTGAAAAATTGCAATTCCTATTCAAAATTTTGAACAGTATTCACAATGCACAGAAAAAGCTAATATTATTTTTAGATTGAAAGGGATCATAGAGATATGCTCCATGCAATTCCTATAAATGAATAAAAATTCCGAATTGAAAAGCATTCGTTTTAACATTCGTGAATCAATATTTCTGAAAAATCTGAATCCATTTCAATTTATTTCAATCCATTCTCGTTTGCTGGGTTGTTGTGATTAGAATATTATTAAAATTAAATTAATATATAGTTAAACTTTGTTTTACGTTTTTGTTTATAAGTTAAATATTGGGTCATCTAAAAAGTATCCGCGGTACTTTGTCACTAGATATATGACCATCAACACACATCTAGTGACAAAAAACCGCGGATACTTTTTAGATGATCCAATAAATAAAAGTTTGCAAAATTCTCTAGTTTTTAATGCACTGTGATATAAGTCTAGGTCTGTTTTTTTATTGCTGCACTCTCTGAACTGATATATACAGTGCAATAAATTGAAGTGAAATAAATATACATTTGTTTCAAGGTAAGTATTTCTTATTTGTTTTACTATATATTGTTATAACTTTTACTAAAAGCATTGAACGTCGATGGATTTCGTTTCACAATCATTGTCGAGGGCGGATTACAATAAGAACTGATATGACTCATTCTTATTTCCAGTGAAGGGGATATAAGCTTTGACGAAAGAGAGATTTTGGTTTCCATCAATCTATCAAATATCATTTTTCTTTGATATTTTTTTCAAAAGGAAATCGAATTGATCAGGAGAGTCAGAAATTAAGATTACGTGTCACGGGACGGGAGTCATATGTTAAAGAATAATACTTAGACAGTCACAAGCGTGAAATTAGGCATAGATCATAATTCAAATATGCCAGGAGGGGAGGGCCCTCACCTTACGCGAGACAGGCCTGGCAACGCAGGTGCGCCACGAGAAACTAACCAATCGCGAATGGACATTGGCGAGGGTGGTGGTCACGAGTAGGGCAGAGTGAGGAATGAAAACGACAAGAAGAGAGAAGAGAGAAGGGGAGACCTGTCAGACGGTCGCGCGGTCGGCGCGGTCACAAAAAGCTGATGCAGACGTCGTCGGACGGTGAACGTGCACGTGCGGTGATTAGTTTTTTTTTCTTCTTCGCGTGTGCGGTGGCCCGCGATGTCCAAGAAGCTATCGCGGGCCGATGCCCTCAACAACATCTCCGCCTGGGACACAGAGGGAGTGTTGTGCCTGTTGCGCAAGGTAAGTGAAGTTCGTCGCGGTTGGCTTAACTTCTGCCGCGCCGCAGTCGCGCCTCACTTCGCGCCGTTCAAGTCGCAGAGTGTTGAATAGATGCAACTTTTCGGCGGACACTGACTGTCACAGTGGTCACAGTTAAAGGCGTGATCGCGAGGAGGAACGTCGGGAACACCTAGCATCGCGCAATAGGAAAAAAAGAGAGAGAGAGAGAGAGAAAGATACAAGGCGCACGTGCGCATCAAAAGCGGTAAATACGCGAGTATTTATAGCATGACTTCTATAGAGAGGAGAGGATCGCCGCGGAAAAGGCACAGGCAGACTCGCTAGGATTCCTGAGCAATTTTCCGACGATTAAGTTGAGGCTACCGACCTTTGCCGATTTTCTCTCTTATTCGTAACTTTCCACGTTTCTCATATTTGTAAATTTTTTTATCTTTTTCCAAAAACCCAGATAGCCAAGTAGAAAGCAGATTTTTTTAAATGTCTGCTACACACTAGCAACAAAATGACAACAGAATTAGATGTACATAATAGTTTTGACAGATTGCTAGGAAAAAACATAACAAAATCTGTAAGCGTCAGATAATATCGGCAGAATCTGTTCAATTTCTGCCAACAATTTGCCTTCATGTTATGTCGATAAGCGATGTTAATAGAATATAAGCCTAATGCGAACACAGTTGATAGTAGACCGTCATTTTCTGTTCGAACCTGCTGACAGTCTACTAGAAAATTGCAGACATTTGGCTATCTGGGTATTATCTTATACGCTGAAGATACTATAAAGGGATCTAGCAAATCAAATTCTGATGCAGAAATCTAACAAATATATGAATATTTTGGATAATTATAGACTTATAAAGTTAGCGAGATGTGAAGAAGATTCTATAATTTTATTAGGTGTTGGAATTAATTCGTAGCATTTTACAAGTGATGGGAAGTACTTTCATTAATGTATTTTTTGCAACTTTTATCTTATCCGAATTTTTTGTGTATCTAATAGAAGTTTTGAAAGTGTCTCAGAGATATCTTTTAGATAAATGTCTAAGCATTCTTTAAAAAAGGCATATTTGGAAACGCCCTCATATCATGACCGACCCGTATATCATTTTTTTTTGTTTGATATTCAATAAATGATAAAATAACAACGATAAGAACGAGTGGTGTTTCTGAACGCAAAAATAGGATCTTTGTATTTATTGATTTAATATATGAATTTCACATTATTGCAGATTATCACAGAGAAACAGCTTTCTTTAGAAAGACGAACTTCTGATATACGAACTTCACATATAATGAGAGCATTTTGCCTAAAGCATTACTCATCAAGTGTTAAAGACATTTCTGAAGAACGCGGCCAGCGAAAGGGACGCATTTCATTTGCATTTCTTCGCGCGTGATCAAGATTGCGCTTAACTTTCACGCATTCCTCGATAAACGCGTTTGCCAGTTTAAGACTACGATCGTTGTTTCCTTACCGCAACTTATTTCTCTTACTTCACGGAAGAAATGTTAGTCGGCTCCGATTTCTTCCTCATAGTCATCATTCTATATGACTGAAATATAAATTAATTATAAATCCTTTTTTTTACTGAGATATTTAATTTTGCGTAAAATACGAAAATCTGGAAGTGTATTAAAATTAATGAGCGATAGTATATATGTATTCTTTAAATGAATTTATATCTCAGAAATATAACTGCGCGCCGCGCGCGCGCGCGATTACTTTTGGATTTTCAACCTAATTAATTTTAAATATTAATAATTCCTCCAAATTATACTAAAGTATTTTTGAAGTGCTTTTAAGAGCAATAAACAGAATTATGCTATCTGTTATATCTTAGATAATACAAGCCAAAGAAGTCGTATATAATATATGAAAAAATAAAGTACCTTTTCAAATCGACACGGAGGATTGTTTCATTGTAAATAACTTTCTGATACTCCTGATTTTGATACTCCTAAGATATATACACAGTATGCCCCTTGTTGTTGAAAAGGCGTCTCAAACTTGGAATAAACAAGAGTAAAGTATTTCCTAAAATCGAGACAAAGCACCAATTGCAGCATCAACCTATTTATAATTATGTTTTGTTCATTTTTTATGTTTTGTTAGTTCAATTTTGTTTATTACTTCTAAAGTAATTTTGTATTTATTTTTTTTATATATTTTGTTATAGATTGGGTATGAACTTAGCACTCCCACCTTCAAACACGGATAAACAATTAAACAACTTGAGCTCTAAAATTAGAAATAAATAATTAAAATGAGTATCTAATTAACATTTGATTTTGATATCTTATTCCGATTTCAGCAGAGAAACTAATTTAGGTTTTTTCCCGTAATTTATTATACATTAAAAAGATATGAAATCACATAGGAAAAAAACAATGGGAAAAGTAGGAAATATTTTATCCTATCTATTCTAGTAGTCCATCAGCGAGATAGAAATGTTAGAATTAGATAATAAATATTCGCGCATAGTTATGTTTATGAAGATACTTTTTCTCGACACATCATCATTATCGGACCGGATTTCCTCTTTTTTATTATTAATTGGAGAATATTTCTTGATATATGACAGATATCAATTTCTATATACATATATGTACGTACTCTTTATCAATACCATATATCCTGTGATATTTAACTGAGAATATTCTTCATTTACAGAACGGACTGGAAGAATGTTGCAAGGCTGTGGCGAAACGGCAAATCGACGGCGATGAGTTGCTGGTGAGTCAATTAGTATATTGCTATGAAAAGAATGACCATTCAAGTAATTTCCTGATTTTCATTTTCGGTTAATCCATCCTATGCCTTGCCGGTGTTCCTGTCGATAACTCTTGAGTCACTCGAATACGGATTACGAAGTGCCTTAAAAAATGGAGCGTTCAGACTGGAATCTCAGTTTTCGCGTTATTAATTTAATCAATTTGTAATTTAAACAATTTGAATAATATTATTTTCAACAGACAAAGTTATATCAGCATATTTAAATATACTGGTTCAATTTTATAAGTAATATATATGATTTTTCACATATTAATTATTATATGATAATTATTATTATGATTTTCTAGAATTTATATCTTAATTTGTAAGAAGATTTTTAGATCGTAGCTACGCGCATCTATCTTATTTACGTGACTATGTATAACGATAATTTTTAATGCAAAAAATGATTTATCTGTCTGAAAATGTCTTTTCGATAACTTAATAAATTTCCAAAATTGCTGATTTAACTTGTAATTAGACACTTATAGTTAAAGACGCGTGTCAGGCGATAATTATCTACCCACTTCCACTGATAACGCACGGACTGCATTTTTTTCCGGTTACAACAGCAATATATTTCGAGACAGCCGGCGGCGACGCGTGCTCTCTTAACGGGACCTTAATTAATTGTAATTATTCCAGCACTTGACGGATGGGAAGCTGGCTCTCTGGAAGAGTGACCTCACGCATCCACTGATAGGGTGAGAGAACGAACCAAATCCAGTTTTATTTCTGCCCGCATCGTATTATTTTCTCTGCTCTTCTCTTCGCGGAATCGTGTCTCGTGATTTTCTCTTATAACGCGTTCTCTCTTAACGGTATCGGATTATTCAGTATGCGAACAACTCATCGCATTCACATACCGTTTACAAGTGTTTACGTACTTAAGGAGCATGAACGTAAGACATAATCCGACTAGACAGTTCTTAAATAGAAAATGCCACATAATACATGATTAATACATGATTTTAAAGTCGTCTCGTTTTTAGATCTTTTTATATTTTTTTAAATTTAGAATCTATCTTTATTTCCTGAAATAATTTTCTAATAGCAAGAAATTGCTGACTTACAACGCATCAAGAATGTGCTACGTTGCTTATTCTTTATATAAAGACGCCGTCGCAAGCTATTTGCCTGGATGTGTTTCGCGCGACTGGATAATTATTTGACGACTGCAAGTCGTGCATAAATGCATAAGTCTACCGCGTGGATCATATTCGATCATTCCACTCCACATTCGTGTCGATTTAATGTTTTATGGTTTTACGCTATTCTTTATTGCTTAACACTCCATCTACACGAAAATTAACATTTTATTATAAGGTATTCGATAAATATTTTTTTAATATTGGTTAAAAAATAATGACAATAATATAAATTCAATTAAATTAAAAATTATATTGAAATAATGAAAAAAAGTAATAATGCCAATAACGAGCCGATAATAGATGTTTGTATGTGAATTTTTTAGTAAGATTAAAACATGATAATAATTAGTTAAACATTCTGACTCATGCTCGCAAATAGTATACATACTTAAATAAAGCACAAATTTCCTTTTTAATGCATTAATATGATGAACCGTTATTGACATTGTTATTACTTTTTTTTTATATTGTTTCACTGGATTGCGAGCCTCTTGAAATAATTCTTAATTTAAATTAAAATAAGAATGGGCTACGAACAAAAAAAAATTGGATATTTATTAGAAAAATGTATATGATGCAGATTGTAATAAATAATGAAACAGATATTTCGAATATTTCGATTTGTATTAGTTCATTTTCAAAGACAAGTCATTTTGAAAATGACTTATAATACGAATATCGAATGGCAGTTTGAAAAGTTACTACTTTGGTATGTTATTACCAAATCGTTAAGTTAAAGCGTTAAGATTTACGAACTGATTTAGTAATGATAATTTTTATAATATTTTAAAACTGCTGTTCGACATTTGTATTATGTATTCAAAATGATTTGTCTTCGTCTAATAATGAAAATAATCTGATAATTGGACCGTCAATCATTATGTAAATATCTTAGCACATCAATAAGCGTCCAGCATTATTATTTTGTCCTCGCTTGTATTATTATCGTCGTCCATTATTCTTTCAATATTGATTAACTTCTGTCGCAGAAAATTATGGACATTTGTGCAAGAATTGAATAAGTCTCCAGAACTATATCTGCTGGATAAGATTATAGAAGTACAACAAAACGATGATCATTTGAGCGATAGCGGTTCCTGGGGAACTGACTTTGAGGATGAAGCAACCGAGGAAAATAATTCTACCGCAAATGTGCAAGAAATCATAAAAGCAAATCTGATCAAGAATAAGCAAGTGTCTTTACAACAGAATAATAGGATACCGATTAGTAGAATACCAACGCAGTCGAAGAAAATAATAAAACCAGAGCAGGAAGAGACTTACGCCAATTGCAAATCTTTTCCAAACGAAGAGGAGAATATGTATGCGAATTGTCAGGAACCGAAACCACCGCCAATGAGAAATGTTTCAAGACTGCACAGTGAGTTGGAGAAAACTCTAGCCGGGAAATTAAAGTTGGAATTGGAAGAGTTGAAGCGGAGGAATGGTCCAAAGAAACCTGAGATCAGGCCGAAACCGGAGACTCTACCATTGAGAAGAATTTCGATGACAGCTTCCGATAAGAAATCTCCGCAGAAATCTTTCCTGCACAATGGACCAAAGATCCAGCACGAACGTGTTCCTAATGAACAAAGCAAAACACAAAGTTAGTCTTTTTAAAATATCTTGATTTTTTTCGATATGGAGATTTTGATTCTTTATGTAATATTACTAAATATTATATTGCTTGGGTTTCCAGAAAGAATGAGTGTGCCGCCGCCACCGGAACCTAAGAAAAATAAGGATTATACGTCCGAGGAAATCAAGAAAGGAGCCGATAAGGAGTTATCGAAACCACCGATCATCTTAAGAAATTTTGATCTTGTGGCAAATTTACCGGCACAAACAGAAGAGAGCGAGGACGAATATGAGCCATTCGACGAAAACATCATTGAAAAGAATGAGATCTCGCGAGTCGATAGTAAGCAGTCGTTGCACAGCGGTCGCCAGGGATCAGTCGAAAGCGTTTACAAGCCTCCTAGCGCTGCGAGTTACGAAGAAGAAGAGGATTACGAGATTTATGAATCTATCACGGAAACGGTAAGTCAAAATGATTCTTGGTCAATGGCTTCTTCAGAATTATGCTTATGATTCGAGACAGTGAATTATTTATGTTATTGTCATGTTGCATTAGCCGGAGGATAATGATTACTTAAGCCCCATTCAAAGGACAAATGATATACAAGAACCACCTCCTTTACCCGCTAAATCGCCGCCTCCACTGTTTTCGACTCTTCCCAGTAGAATCAGATTGGAGAAAGGTAAGTGTATTTTTCAGCATTATAAACAGAATATGACTAAACAAGCAATTAAAAAATATTACAGTTTCATATAAAATGTTATAACATGATACAATCTTATGAGTACTAAATTCTGTTGGTAGATTATTTCTTATATTACATTTTGATCTTGATAATGCTTATATAATAGAAAATTATAAATAATTTTTTTTTCTTTTAAAAATATAATCATCTAAACATTCAAGAGCACTTGAGAAAACTTTAAAGATAGGAAAATTTGATTTGTTACTCAATACTATGTTTAACTTATCTGAAGCATGATTAGATACGAATTTGTGCGAATTCGTTATTAGGACATTAGATGTATTAACAATGTCATGAAACATACGTTCTGGTGAATGCGGAAAAAATGCAGGGTACCGTAGACTCGAGACGAGAGACGAGCAGGATCATTCGTAAGAACTTCTGAGCATATGTTCGACAAATGCTGCTTATTGTTGGTTCCCATGCAACCTGATGCAGGCATTGCCATCGCAACACTGCGGACAGTCGCATATCGGCCACAGTCATCAAAGGATTCACGAAACATAACGTTCTCTCTTTGTAATAGTAAAACGACGCAGAATAGTGTTTTGTGTCGCAGTATGTCAACGACGTTGTCGCAATTATTTGCTATTTTTCGTATGAAAGAAGTCAAAGCGAGACCTTCGACCTTCAATATGAATAAAAGATTTCAAACGTCGGGATCGGCAAGATAAATCGTCGTGGATTTTCAATTCGAATGTGAGACAACAGTACAAAACGTCGAGTCGTGGAGTAACGTAACGAGAGTCTACATTCTAGGTTTGTTTTCTATAGCTGAACAGTGTATTCAAATGTAGGTATATATTTGTTATTTGGTTAAAAAAGCGAGAAAGAAAGTTTTAGTATAGTCTAGTGCAAGAATAAAAAATAAGCTCTGTTTTCGATTGATATAATCGAAAACTACATATAGCTCTGTTTTTTATACTTTTTGCACTTAAAATGAAATAGGTATGTATGTTTGATATTTGGTGATATTTGGCAATAGTGAGAAGGAAAATTGTAGTACATGGCTCAGGTGCAACAATAAAAAACAAATCTAATCTGTGTATACAATGAATTCTCTGAAAAGAAACGAAGCAACAAGTTGCACGGACAGAGAAGAGAAATACTAACTATTTCTCATTGTGATTCGTACGACGTGCGCGTGTGAAAGGATTTGATAAGAGATCGAGAGAGCAAAATACTGGTGATGGAATGTGTTCCTGTTTTTATCTGCGTCTGAGCAAACAGCTCCTAGGAGGCCTGGGCACGCGCCTGGCCGATGAGGTCGCCGATATGATAGTGCGGATCAAGAGAGGCCTGTCTACGTGTTGTTATACGCAACCACCTGAGCCGCCAGGTACACAAAATGATTAAACAACGCATTGTTCGATGACTTATCTACGTTTGCTCCGGTACAATGTCATGTGATCATAGTATTAACTACGAATGTTCCACTAATGGA